TTGTTTTTTGTTTGTGTGTGTGTGTGTGTGTGTGTGTGTGTGTGTGTGTGTGTGAGAGAGAGAGAGAGAGAGAGAGAGAGAGAGAGAGAGAGGGATATGTGAGATTCAGAGCCTCGCTCCACAACTCTCCACATGCACAAAAGAAAAAAAAAATGACGGTGTATCTTTTCCATGTTCGAGCAGAAGATTCATTCTCATTTTGTGCGTTTGGAGAGTAGTGCAGCAACGCCCTCATTCTCGTGTTGCACCCTCCACTACACGTGCTACCTTCTTCCCCCGAATATAATGTACGGTCATTCTAGCTGTATCTAGACTGAAAGATGCGTCAAATACAGCTATAATGACTGTACGTTGTATTCGGGGGAAGAAGGCAGGAAATCCGATGGACCGTTTCAAGTTTCAACGGATTTCTTGGCACATGTAGTGGAGGGAGACCAGCTCACCAAATGTGCAAAATGAGAATGAATCTTCRGTTAGGACATGGGTAGATACACAGCCATATTTTTTTGTCTTTTGTGCATGTGGTGGTGAGTAAATGAGCGAGACCCTATATAACGGGCATCGAGCATGGGCCTCGCCCGACTACGCACCACATACACAAACGACAAAAAATATGGCTGTGTATCTTCCCGTATTCTAGAGGAAGATTATTCTCATTTTGCCCATTTGGTGAGTGGGGCTCTCTCCACTATGCATGCCAGGAAATCCGATGAGCGGTTTCAAGTTTCAGCAGATTTCGTGGCATGTGTATTGGAGACACCCAATCACCAACGGTTTCGAGCTTCTGTCACTTTCTGACAGATTCTGCTCGGGTACAAAAGGCAAGTTTCTGGTTCTCTTTTTCTTTTTGCAAAAGCACCGAGTTCTTGTCGTTTTCGAAATATTCACTGCGGCCACGTTTTGCCTCCTCCCGCTGCTGCGAGCCTCGGCCCCTCGCTGCCTCAAAAAAAAAACTGTGGGGCCCTGCGCGGCCTCAAAACAAAAAAAATATTTTTTCGTAACCCGGCGGAGCGAAGTGCCTGCCGGCCTTGCAACCCCCCCCC